TCCGATTGGGATATTTCAGCAGCTGTGGGAACTGGAATTACCAAATCAATAGCTGACGGATACTGGCGTGACCCACGTGACTTATCAGAGGCATACTTCAGGTTGGAAATGAATCTCAAGACATAGGACATTGAGCGAAGCATGCTCTCATAGGAATGGAAGCGTGAGATGTCAATCAAGTCTTGGAGACTGTCTATTTTAGACTGTTTACCATGAACATGGCTGTCTACAGCTGTGACTGAGACAATATCGTCTTCTGCAAAGCTGTGAGGACTCCATCTTGGCCAGAGTGTATGGTCTGTTAACCATGGAGGACCTCTTTGCCATAATGCTGATTGTATTTCATCGGCACTGCATCCGCGGGAGAGTTTGTCTGCAGGATTGTTTGCTGAACTGACATGGGACCAGCTGGATAGGTCAGTGAGCCTCAAGATCTCTGTTGTGCAATTGCAAATGAAGACTGACAGTTGTTTGATACTGAACAGCCAATGGAGACAGATGGTGGAGTCAGTCCAGTAGTGGCATGAGATGGATGGGAAATCCTTGCTGAAAATTTTTCTTATAGCTGCACCAAGGCGAGCACCCATTACCATGGCAATTAATTTCCACTGGGGAACTGTTCGTGCATGTTTAGATGACGAAAGTTTGACCTTGGAGCCAATGAATCTGACCTTCTCATTCTGAGCAAAGAAGACACAACAACCGGCAGCAGTGGTGGGGCATGCATCACAAAATACATGCAGTGCTACTGGTAAAGCTTTGTCAAAGTCCAAATAACGTGAGGTGACAAATGCTGAAGCTGCTTCTATTTCTTCGGCGATTTGGTTGTATTGCTGGTGGAGTTCGTCAGGGAGAATTTCGTCCCAGTCAAATCTCTTATCCCACAGAGATGAAATGAATTTCTTGACTGGAACAAGTACAGGGGAGATGAGGCCAATAGGATCAAATGTTGAGGAAGCAGAACTGAGGACGCGTCGTTTGGCGAACTTCACGTCAGGAGGAATGACAATGGCTTTCCGTGGAAACTGTAGCGTGTCTTCCTTGGGGTTCCACTTCATACCTAACAGGCCAGCATGATCTCTCTCAGAACCAGTCCTCATCTTGTCAATAATGGTGGTCAGCTCTGGCGAATTTGTAAACCACTGGCGGAGATTCATGTCAGCATCCTTCATAACATGCCTTGAGATGTTGTAATACTGAATGGCAGTATCCTCATCATCTGTTCCAGTAAGCACATTGTCACAGTAAAGCTTCTCTTCAAGGTCTTGAGCGACAAATTGGACAACTGGATCTCGA